CCCTCCCCCTTCCCTCTCTCTCTCTCTCTTTCTCTCTCTGTCACTCTCTGTCTCTCCCTCTCTCACACTCATAACAGTAAATGGAACAAAACTCTCTCTCTCTCTCTCTCTCTCTCTCTCTCTCTCTCTCTCTCTTGCACACTCTTAGTCTCATTGCTTTGGCTACCTTAGTAGGGATGCGTTCCCCATGCCCACTCGGTAGACAATACAAACTACGGGCTGCGCACCCGTGCCCTCATGGTAAGTCAATAGGTAGTCCGTGAAAACGCGGTGGACTGGTCCCCCAATAACTTTCACCCCCTTAGAACCCACTTGTGCGCTGGTCCCCGGCACTGAAAATGTGCTACCTGGGTCCCCCAATAACTTTCACCCCCTTAGAACCCACTTGTGCGCTGGTGACCCGGCGCTGAAAATGTGCCACCTTGACAGGGACGCTGAAGCCTACTATACCCAGCCTTAGGGCTGCGAATTCGCAAGGGAGTGTGAAAGGTTCTTACAGCTAGCGACACGCCACAGGCACAGGGATGGGCGAGACGCTCTCTCCGACCGACGGAAGGTGATCAGGATGAACGAGCGACGGGGAGAAAAGCAATTGCAATTGTGATGGGAAGTGCGAGCGATCAGGATGACAGAGCGACGGGTAAAGGCGCTATTGATTATTATTACTTCAAAAAATGTAATCTGGGATATGGAGGTCGATAGCCGACGGAACGGCCGCCGAACGCGAGAACATGGAACAGGGGTTGGGTTGAAAGGGTATGCGGGTGAGCAGGCAGATACGGAAGGAAGTTGAGAAATTGATGAATGAATGCCGGGGAAGGGTTATAAATGCAGGCAACCTGTGGTCAGGGTTTGTTGAAATGATGCGTAGCCTTTGTCGGGCCTACGTAGTCTGCGCAGGACAGAAGTGGACGCGGTTTGCCACGTGGTAGAGCGGGGCACTTGGCCGTTGATGTCTCTTCTGTGATAGAGATCTGTGGTGTTCTGTATATCTGTTGACGTCGCCGTTGGTAAGAGGGGCCAGGGGAGAGAGCGGCGAGGGGGAGAGGAGAGGAGAGGAGAGGAGAGGAGAGGAGCGAGAGGAAGGAGTAGCCAAGGAAGGCGAGAGCGCCTGGGCCGCCGTCGAGGGGGAGGGGATATGGGAGGGAGAGAGGAAGAGCCGGGAAAGCGGAGGTGGCCTACGCGTGGGCCGGCGCCGGCGTCGGCGGGGGGTGGTGATCAGACGCACCTTGAAGTAGCGATCGCCGGCGCCGGCGCCGGCGCCGGAGCAACTGGGCTTAGATCGTTCACACAGGCTGCTGCTCACGGAGGATGTAGTTGTAGGAGGGGAGGAGGAGGTGAGCTTGTGATGGACTGACTAATTCGTGGGAAAGGCGGGCATGTGAATAGGTTAGTCTGGAACATGCAAGTCGCTTCGAGCGGCAGCAGAGCGAAGAGGAGAAATCAGGAGAGGGAAGCGAGGAGGACCTGAGCAAGAGGCAGGGAAGGAGTAGGGTGAGGGGGAGGAGGAGGGCGGTGGTTGCTTGCTGGGCTCTAGCTGCAGGCGAAGGCGGTGGTGGGGTCTGCAAGGAGGAAGAAGGGAGGCGCAGAAGAGGAGGAGAATAAGGGCATTACTCACCCTTGTGCTTTCCTGAATTGAATGTATTTGGCCATTACTTTGGCCTCATTCACTGGAGAAAGTCGTCGTGTGAGTGTACCACAGTAAGCGGAGGAGAGGAAAAAAGTAATAGAAAGAGGGGAGGACGGCAGAGAGAAAGGAGGCGAGGCATTTGGTTGGGAGCGTAGTTGTGCTTCAAACCGACAGGTGGAGGTGGTGGGTAGGGTAGGGAGAAGGGAAGGGAGGGAGGGAGGCAGGGGGAAAATGGGGGCAAGCGAGTCAACGTCGTTATTGGGAGAACATCATCAGGGCTTGCTGGACAGATTCGTGGGTCCGCATCCCATTCCAATCAACGATCCGTTTTGGAGCGAGCTCCTGTCGTTCTCATTCCCTCTTCTGAAGCTGAAACCTTCAGATCCCGATGAGGCCACAAGACCGTTATGCTGGCAACTGGCGAAGAACAATGGCGTGACGTGTCACCTGGGCAAGCTGCTTATCCATGTGGCACGATGTCTGCAGGACACGTCGTCCATCAACCAAAGCTTGACGATGAAAGCCATCAACACCGTCTACTTCGCCCGGCTCTTTGTCAAGCATTTCGTCGAGTGCTACGAGACAGAACTCCTTTATCATCTCGAGGTCTCGATCCCCCCTGGCCCTGCTCAGCCTCCTCCTCCTGCTGCTACTGCTCTATCTGCTTCCCCTTTCGGAGGGGGGGGGAACGAGGAGAGCGTAGCGGATGGGAGCGGAAGGGGCCGCGGCTCGGAGAACATGCTGGTGCCCACTGTCCGTGCTCTGCTGGCCTTCGTCGCTTCCAGTGACGTCAATGCAAATTCGTACCTCCTGCACCTGGAGGTGATCAATCTATTGTTGGTGATGACGTCAACGCAACTACACGCCCCGCCGTGCGTAGGGCCAGGAAACTCGCACTTCTTCCTAGACGCAGCGATGGCGCAGACAGATCTGGCGGGTCCATTCGTGAGGAAGCTCTTGGTGTCGGCCATAGCACGTCTTCCAATGCCTCGCCGGCTTCCGTACCACCATTACCACCATCATCCTTCCTCCGGTAATTCCCATCATCATCATCATCAACAACAGTATCATGCTGGTCAGCGCCAGCCGCAGGTGGCTAATCAGCAGCAAAGTGGGCTACCAACGTCAGCGACAGCTCAGCAGCAGGAAGACCAAGGGGGGGGAGGGGGGGGTGTTTTGCGGAAAGTGGGCAGTGCGGCTGCGACCATGTTTCTCCTTCCGTACTACGCATACGGTTATCTCACGAGCGGATCGGGAAGGGACGTGGGTTGTCCGCTGGCGGATAACAGTCTCCTCCTCCTCCTAGTTCTCTCGCATTACGGTAGGGGTGACGAGCAGCAAATGGTCGCGGCCGCCGGCGAATGCCTCGACGACGTCGGGCTCGTCCTTGATGGCAAAGGTGAAGGGGGAATGTCAGCCGTCAACGGCAGCGGTGCCTGCAACGGAGGAGGAGGAGGAGCAGGAGGAGGGGGGGGAGGGAGAGAGAGTAATGGAAGAATCGCGGCTGTCGGGGGCCGTTACCACAACCCTTTCCTCCACGCGCTTCAGAAATGTCGGGACAGTGCATACGAGGAGGAGGATGGAGAGGAGGAGGGAGGGCGGGGCAAAGGCGGCGGCGGCGGCAGTGGCGGAGGAGGGATCTCCCAAGCCGCCGCGGAGGCGGGATATGGCATGTGTGGTCCCGACGTTATCCGAGTGCCCTACTCCTCTCTTTACGATATGCTAGGGGCCACTTTGTCCGACGAGCGCTCCACCTTGCTGCTCTACTCTTTGGTCCACAGCAATCGCTCGTTCCTGGAATACGTTTTGGTCCGCACAGACCTGGACACGCTTCTCATGCCTCTGCTGGAAATGCTTTACAAGGCCTCCAAGTGCACGTCCAATCAGATCTACATGCTGCTGATCGTCCTCCTTATCTTGAGTCAGGACGCCTCGTTCAATGCCAACGTGCACAAGCTTGTTCTGGCGTCTGTTCCGTGGTACAGGGAGAGGCTTCTGCTTAAGATCTCTCTGGGATCGCTGATGGTCATCATACTGATCCGGACCATCAAGTTCAATCTTTCCAAACTGAGGGACGTCTATCTCCATACCAACTGTCTGGCGACACTGGCCAACATGGCGCCGTACGTGCAGCAACTCAACTCGTACGCGGCACAGAGGTTGATTAGCTTGTTCGATATGTTATCGCGAAAGTATATGCGTCTCCAGTCGGCGGCGACGGCGGCGGCCGCGGCCGCTTCCACGTCATCTGCGTCCACGTCTCCGTTGATAGTAGTGTCGGCGCCAGAGAGGCGGGTAGGTGGAGGGAGGGGAGGAGGAGGGGTGGACGGGGTAGAAGGCGGCGGGGCCGATGGGGCACAGTCCGATGCCTCATCTTGTGTGATTAGAGAAGGGGCTGGGGAGGGGGCCGGGGGAGGCGGCGATATGGGAGACGATCTCGATTCGGAGCTGAACATTTTCACGGATTTTCTAAGGACCGTTCTGGAGATTATCAACGCCATTCTCACCTACGCCCTCCCGAAGAACCCGGAGGTGGTGTATGCTCTGCTGCACAGGCAGGAGCTGTTCGCGCCGTTCAAAAGTCACCCGAGATTCTACGAGCTGCTGGAGAACGTGCAGACGGTGCTGGACTTCTTCAACGTGAGAATGGATGACTTGCACAAGGAGGGAGGAGATTGGTCGGTTGAAAAGCTGTTGCAGGTGGTGGTGGCGAATGCGAGGGCATGGAGAGGGGAGGGAATGAAGAAATTTTCGGAACTAAGGTTCACATACGAGGAGGAATGCCATCCGGAAGAGTTTTTTATACCCTACATCTGGTCGCTCGTATGTCAGCATAGCTCTATCCCGTGGGATTTGTCATGCATCTCGCTGTTTCCGACGCCGACGCAACAAACAGGGGGAGGAGCAGGCGGAGAGAGGGAAGGGGGAGGAGGAGGAGGGGGGGGTGACGACGTGGTCTAGAAAACAGTGAAACGACTAGCGGAAGAATGAATTGAGATTACTTCGTCGTACATCTCGCTATAACGACTAGCGGAAAAGGAGGAGGAGGGGGAAGAGGAGGAGGAGGAGGAGGGGGTGGGGGTGGGCGTGGGCGTGGGATTGGGAGTGACGAGGTGGTCTTTAGCAAAACAACAATAAGAAACTAACTATTTGAAGAGTGAATGACGAGATGGAGACGACGGATAAGGGATGATTGATATGTATCCTTTTCGTTTTCCGGTGCGGTCGTCCTGCTTCTCTGCTGCGGTTTCTGTTGCGGTTGAAGATTACTCTTCCGTTGGATTGTGTCTGTCTGTGTAGCCATTCGCGCGGCCGTCTCTATCTTGGCTCGTGATCTTGCTTGGGTGCGGAAGAAGCCCGAGGGCACCAGAGAGCGGATAGGAAAGGGAGAAGAAAGGCAAGTGGGCAGAGAGAGCGTGGAGTTTGACAATTAGGTCTTGTCTTTGGGGTGACTTCAAGCTGGTTGGGTTGATCGGTCCGTCGGTCGATCGATCAATAGAAAGACGGAATGGTCGTCATCACATTTGCCCTTATGTGTATTTGTCAGAGGGAGGTGAGTTAGATAGATAGATTGATAGATCGAGATAGATAGATAGATAGATAGAGAGAGAGAGAGAGAGAGAGAGAGAGAGAGAGAGAGAGAGAGAGAGAGAGAGAGAGATGGATGGATAGGCAAACGAGGTGGTTGGTGACGAGAACATGGGCTTCAATTCCTTATATTCGCCAGCGATTTGACGTGTGACTTGTTTTTTTAGGGCTGCGGCGTGCATGGTTGCGGAGGTCCAGACGGTGTTAATTGCAGCAGCAGCGTCAAGAACACGAAGAACGGACTGAGCACCAACCGCTTTGGAGCAGTAAGAAGGGAAGATTCGCCACGTGTAGACTAGCGAAAAGAGGAGGAGGGAATGCGTGTTGGTTTCCGGGGGGCCGGGCGTCGATCGGCTGGCAGAACAAGTCTCTCCTCCCTCTCCACCTATGGTTCCTACCCTTCTTATATTCTCGATCCCTCTCACGGCTTGGTGGAAGTCGAAGGTTGTGTTCTATTTTCGAAAGGAAGGTCACAGGTTCGGTTTCTATTCATGGAGCAAGCGTTCATCCTGTTTGAACCCGTTTCATTCCTCACCCAAACCTTGATCCACACTCATTCCTCCACACATATTCATTATCTATAAATAAATCCGTCCATTCAACCATTTGATCGTATTGTCATGAATCCATCCATGCAGTCATCCTTTCTATGTTTGACAAAGATGATGATGATGATGATGATGATGATGACCATTGACGATTGGGGACGGGATGCTGATGCTGATGTTGACCATCGACGATGCGGGACAGATCATGGTGGCGCGGATGATTGAAGTGAGGAGGATCGTAGCGACTATGCATGAGCAGCATAGCCATCGAGACGGGCGGTGGAGGAGCCAGCGAAAAGCGTAGTTCTCTGGTCTCTCTTCCTCCCTTCCTCCCTACTACTTATGTGGCCATCCACACGATCTTTGTGGAGGGTATTGCCAGTCGCGATCCCCGCGGGCCTCCCTCTTCTCTTCTGGGTTTCTTCCTGCAATTGCTGGGAATGTGCCCTGCTGCTAGGTTTCAAGGTAAGGCGGAGGGGGGCACTGTTTGCTTGCAAGGTTTCAAGGTTATGGCGGAGTGGTTGGCAGGTAGTGAGTGGCACGGACGTTCACCACCTCCTTCTCGTCGAATGTGTGCCTCTGCTTTTAAGGTCGGCCAACGAAGGGGATTGTAGATTTTGCGCGGTCGAAGATGAACGGACGCGGGTGAATGCAAGTTAATCGTAAGGAAGAGCGGCCAGACTGGTCTGCAACTGGTGCAACACACAGTGCATGAACAGATGCAGCTGCTGTTTACTGATCAATAAGTAAATCAATCAATCAATCAATCAATCAACCAACCAACCAACCAACCAACTAATCAATCAATCAATCAATCAATCAATCAATTAATAAGGAGTATCTTCAACAAAGGCCCTTAACCAAGTTAGGCAGTCAATCAATTGGCCGAACGATTTCTATAAATCCATCCATCCGCCTAGCAAGCAATCAACCAACGGGCAACGAAGGGATCCAGGGAACAATGAACTCCGAACGGCCAGTCTGTCATCCTCTTGTCTAATGACGAAGGGACCCAGGGAACAATGGACTCTTGAACGGCCAGTCTATCATCCTCTTGTCTAGTGAATCGGTCAATCAATATGGGAGCGTGTGGAGCAGTCGATGCTTTTCGTTCGGACTATTGAAGAGGCAGCTCTGCAGAGTGAGCATGCAGTGTGTACTTTGTTGCCTTTTCTCATGTGTCCCCTCCGCCCCCCCCCCCCCCCCCCCCCCCCCCCCCCCCCCCCCCCTCGGCGCGCCCTCTTGGAGTTTACATTCATATAGTACCGCGGGTGATATTCGGGCACGGGAAAGAGAATGAGGCACGATAGTAGGCATCGACGCTGATCATCGCGACCTTTGGCACTGCCGTTTGCAGGGGCGAGGAAACAAGGAGAAGGGGACGAATACAAGGGGGTGGAAAAAAAGAGCTAACAGGTAGAGAAACTATCAAAGCGAATGGGAAAGCGAAGAGAATAAAACTCGGAAGTACTAAAGAAGAGAAGTGAAGGACAGGAGGGTGCCGAACGGGTAAACAAATGAAGTGACCGCAGCTCATTGTCGTTCGCTCGCTGCGCGGAGGTTCCCGGGTGTGCGGCGAGGAACTGACTTAAGAGAGAGAGAGAGAGAGAGAGAGAGAGAGAGAGAGAGAGAGAGAGAGAGAGAGATCTTTTCTCCTCTCGGCTGTGGGCGCATTCACTCCAGGGTTAGACGTCCTGGAGTATGTCCGTAGAGCGAGAGTGATCTGCGGAAACGAGTACAGGTTGCTTGTGCCATCGCCTAAAGAAAGCGTCGCTATTTGTTTTACCTTATGGCTCTTGATAGGGCTGCGAGGCAGCAGTGACCGGTTATTTTTGTCTTTTGTCAGATGGGGCCGTTGAGGGAAATCGATGTGAGAGGGTGCAATCTTCCCAGCAGAAGAGGGTGATTTGAGTTGACGAGGTCGGAATCCGCAGCCACATCTTGAATGATAGTAAGGGGAGAAAAAAGGAATGGGGAGGATGAGGAACGATAGGAAATGTAGAGTGTGAGGAGGGGGGGCTGATTGGAAGACGAAGAGGAAGAGTAGTATTAGGAGGATCAGAGGATAAGGAGGACGAGGAGACCGAGGTAAGTGTAGGTAGAACAGCAAAAATCAGGAGGAAGCGGGGAGAAGAAGGTCAGAATAAGGACAGAGGAGGTAGCGAGCATGAAAAGGACGATGACGAGCATGGGAGAAGGCAAGATGGTGGGTACAGGGTAGGGTGAGGAGGGTGAGGGAAAGGTGGTGTTTTGGGAAGTTTGGCAGGTTGCAAAAACCAGAGTGGTTAAGAGTAGATCTCTATCGGAAGGACGGGCTTGAACAATGTGAGGAGTTTAGAACCTCTTTCTAGTGGACCGAGTTAATAGGTGAGTGCTTTGGGGGCGCTCTTTTTCTCTGCCCGTGGACCTTAGGGAGCACTCACACAGGGATCATACGGACTTAATCTGATGATTATGGACCCGGTAAAGTATACTCCCCAGTATGAGGACACCCCTGCTTACCCCAGAGTTTGGGTGAGAGCTGATGAGGAAGGGGAAACTGAATGGGTTTGCGGAGACATGATGCTGGCGGTTGATTGATTGATTGGATGATTGATTGATTGATTGATTGATTGGTTGATTGATTGATTGATTGATTGATTGATTGATTGGTTGATTGATTGACAACTGTCCATCTGGATGGGGGATCGCTGCATCACCGTAGATGCTCACCCGCACCTGCCCGCCCGCTCATTGATAATTGGCGTTGTGAATTATATTTCGAGTATTAACTTTTACTTGTTTGGCAGGGAACCAGGAACATTTTCCCTTGGAGGGTGAAGGCGTTTAGTTGGATCGCCACTATGCGGGGAGGTTCAGTACGATTAAAAACACCCATGTTATTCGTTGCAGGATTCATCTTCTTGTTTACCGTTAGGAAAGAGGATGGTAAGGAGGGTCAACTACGCAGTTTTGGGAAAGAGAACGGTAAGGAGGGGGGTTGAAGTACGCAGTCTTGGGAAAGAGGATGGTAAGGAGGATTAATGACACAGTTTTGGGAAAGAGGATGGTGAGAAAAGAGGATGGGGAGGGGGTTTAGTCACACAGTTTTGGGAAAGAGGATCGGGAGGGGGGATTAGTCACACAGTTTTGGATTATTGTTGAGAGCATTATGGTTTACGCAAGATGATCCATCTGCAGTGGACACGATAACAAGTTTGCGGCAGCTCTTGGTATTGTCTCTGAAAGTCTAAAGAGGTAAGTACTTTGTGAATTCACTTGCTTGCATATGGTCGGTCTGTGTTGTATGGCCTTGGTTTGCTACATAGTTTTTTAACTGGGTGACGGAACCTGGCCATGTATGTGGGTTCAGCGGAGGGGCCTGCCTCGTTAGACATTCGTCGCAGGAGTTGGCAGCCTTGCTTCTGCTAATTGTTGCTTCCTGTGGAGACGGTGGGATGCCGACCCAAATTATGGTGGAAGTGATAGGGTGACTGTTTTCCATGGATTTGTCAGAGAGGTTCCAGAGAGGGAACTTGGCGGAGTGAAATGACATTGATGGTTGGCCTCCTCTGACGAGGAAGTTGTGCAAGGGGAAATGTAAGGACCTTTGAGCAAGCAAGGCCTCTTGGCAGTTTACCTCCTCCTTTTGTTTTTGTCGTCCTGTTTTTTTCCCCTTTGCTACCTCCCGTAAGGCCAGGTGTGGCCACAGAGAAGCTGATGAGGACAGGCATCTTCTCGTCCCCCCTGGATCGGTCGCTTTCCTCTCGTAACCCACTGCTTGACTGCGCGGTTATGCTGTGCCGCTTGCAGTTTGCTTTTCCTTCTCTCTGGTTAATACTGAAAAGAATGCAATGCAGAGAGAACTGCCTGGGAGAGGGGGCGAGACAAAGACGAGGACTGCCGGTGATGACAGTGGCGGTCAGTCCCCTGGGGGCGGGGAGGCCGGCTCGGATGGGAGACAGTGGAGTGGACGAAAGGTAGGTGCTCTCGGGGAGGACTGTATGCTTGCTAGATTTGTCATAGTTGTGGATTCGTTGGCTGATGCAGATGGTGGCTAGTAGGCATCGGACAATAAGCTCAACTGCTGTGGTCTGCTATAGCTCGTTGCGGGTATAACATGCACTGTGACTGACTGGTTGTCGGCAGCCATCCCTGCTATACTGCACGAGGACTTGATGATCCCTTGGCGAGGGTGCTGCCGTGCCTATTTGTTTGTCTTTCCGCTGTCCAGATGGTAGACAGGCAGATGGACTCTACTGAAACGGTGTGATGAAGGTTATCAGAACTGCAAGCTTGTTGACCTTGTCTGCGAGCTTGTTGACCTTTTCTGCAAGCTTGTTGACCTTTTGTGCGAGCTTGCTGACCTTCTCTGCGAGCATGTTGACCTTCTCTGCGAGCTTGTTGACCTTTCTGCGAGCTTGTTGACCTTGTCTGTGAGCTTGTTGACCTTGTCTGCGAGCTTGTTGACCTTTGTTTTCCTCATCCGGGGCTGGGAGGGAGAGAACAAAAGATGAATGGTGGAAGTTTGAGCTACGAGTTCATGATCTGTTGGGAAAGGAGGTCGAAGAAACAGGCTGGCGATAAGATAAGTGTAGAGGCTTCCCATGTCTTCCCCTTGTGTATTCTGAGGTGTCTACAAGCAGGTCAGAAGCTGCCGTCTTGCAATTTCATGTCACGGTGAAGGTTAGCGATTTGTCTGCCACATAGTATTTGCTTGTCTGGTTGCATTCATCTTTCTTTTTGCATGTATTTCATCTATGAGAAAAGCTTCGTTTTTTTGTTTCCTTTGGGACACACTACGAGAAACGCCATTGTTTTTCATTTCCTTCACGTCACACTGAAGTGTTCATCTCTATATTGCCTGCTTGCTTGCATGCGTGTGTGTGTGTGTGTGTGTGTGTGTGTGTGTGTGTGTGTGTGTGTGTGTGTGTGGGGGGGGGGGGGGGGGGGGGGGGGGGGGGGGGGTGTTTGCATGTGTGTGCATGTTTACCTCTGCATGTGAATGTGCATGCATGTGAGCGTGTATATCTCTGCATTGGGTGTGCGCGGATGTTTGTACGTGACCCAAGTGTGCATGAGCATGGTGTTGGTTGGTAGGTGTGTGTGTGGGTGGGTGTGTGGTTGTCCGGTCTTCTTCCTTTATTTAGGCTTGCGTGTATCCATTTCTGCAACCCAAACACTAAGCTGTTGCAATTACCTTTCCATGGCAAGGGACTTGAGTGTAATTCGTTGTCAGGACTAGGTGACTGAATTTGAAAACACTGTGAGAAGTCTTCAGCATAAGCAAAAAGAAAGCGCGAAAAGGAAAGCGATAATGACAGACTGGTTCGAGGGGTACACAGACTTATGAGGATGGTTCGAGGGGTCCACAGACTTATGAGAATGGTTCGAGTGGTACACAGACTTATGAGAAGGTGGAATTTTTGGCAGTCTCCAGAATCCCCTATTGGTTGATGCCGAGGACTAATCCGCCTTGATCCCAATTACAAGTGGGCACTAACCACGGAGCATCAGGTAGGCATACCGAGTAACAAGGCAGAATCCAGGCAGGCAGGGTAACAAGGCAGAGTCCAGGCAAAGGAGCAGGGAAGAAGGCAGGCAGGTAGGTGAGGCAAGCAACAAGGCAACAAGGCACAAGGTGAGCAGGCGAGCAGGGCAAGCGGCAACGCAGGAATGGCCATGACGACCAGGCATAGAGGCAAGCAGCATGGGAGCAGGGGAAAGTCACAGCTGGGTGCTGTAGGCTGCAAGGGGCATATGCCAAACAGGCAGGCATGGAGCAAGGTAAGTGGCAAGGGAATGAGGGGGCAGCAAGGCAAGCGGTGCAATGCAAGGCATGGAGGTAGGTGGGTGCTGAGGCAAGGGGCAAAGCACCCAAGCAGGGATGCGATTAGCTTGGCGAGCAGCATGGCAACACACCACAAGATAATAACAAGGGCAGGTGTGCACAAAAAAGATAAAGAAAAAGAACAAAAGAGGCAGGTGTGTGGCAAGGCAAGCAGTAGGGTAAGAAGACAAAAGAGGCAGGCAGGTGCAGGCAGAGGCCATAGGCAGCACCCCAAGTGACCAGCAGCTCATTGTGCGGCAAGGAAAGCAGCAAGGTAACAAGACGAAAGAGGCAGGAAGGCGCTTTCTCACGGCACCGGGAGCAGCCCGCGTGGTGGTAAACCCAGTGAGTCACCAGTGCAAACAACTCGTTTGTATTGAAAAAGGTCAAAGGATGATACTGCTGACTGTATTTTCATGCCAGGTCCAAAGCCAGAGATCCAGTGGCTTTGGGTCTATCACAAGGAACAATGCAAACTGGCGCGCTAAACGTGCGCCATCTCAACTAATACACCGAAGGGGAATCCTTTTGGACACTGCCAAATTATTACGCATCTCTAAGAAGGGCACTGCACACACATAACGCACAGAGGATGACGGGTGAAGCAAGGGAGGAGAGCAGCGAACCCATGTACAGACTATGAGAAACAGGAAACGAGGAAAGCCAGCGGACACTATGCACTCTGTGTGTGTGTGTGTGTGTGTGTGTGTGTGTGTGTGTGTGTGTGTGTGAGTGTGTGTGTGTGTGTGAGAGAGAGAGAGAGAGAGAGAGAGAGAGANGTGTGTGTGTGTGTGTGAGAGAGAGAGAGAGAGAGAGAGAGAGAGAGAGAGAGAGAGAGAGAGAGAGAGAGAGAGAGAGAGAGCAGGTATGGAGTGAGGCAGGAGTTGGAGTTACAGGGTTTGGATGGGAAGTTGGAGGAGACTCCGGAGAGTCTTTTGTGCTGGTAATGGCAAGTGCAAGTGGTATCGCTGCTATGACAAGGAAAAGAATTGAGCCATAGCTTTCTGCTTGGAAGGTGAGGGGGCAAAGAAGAAGAAATGAGGAATGCTGTAGATGCTGCACAATAAGAAATGTGAACTACCTTCTTCACTCACCCGAATAGAACGGGCGGTGCAACTTTCAAGACTACATACTATGATAATGGCCGAGCATTCTGTTCGGGTGGAGATGGTCTTCTTATCTTTTCCATTGTTGGCTGGAGTAACGAGAATTCGCAGCCGGGCCAGGCCAGCGGCCTAGCTCAGTTGGGAGAGCTCGAAAGCGGCATTCAGGAGGTCGTGGGTTTGATTCCCCCACGTCTTCCATTCGAACTCCCATGGCCTCCTGCGGCATGCTGAGGGTTCACCGGCTGAGATAGTTGGCTTGCCCCCCTTAGTTGGTTTGGTAGGGGCTATTCCTTTGTACCTTCCATCCTTTCGCCGGGGGTTAGAATCAACCCGCAGTGGAGTAAACAAAAAGATTTATCGGATCACCCAGCAGCGCTGCTTTGGTACGGGTGGAGGTTGGCGTGGCTTGAGGAACCGACCCTTGCTAGGTAGTGTGAGGTACTGAGTGAAGAGTATAGTTAAAGAAAGCAAAGAAAACTTTGAAAAGAGAATTTGCAATGACTCCTGTTGTTATGGACGCAGCCATCCCTTCTTTTTGGCTTTGGAATTATAGACAGAGGGTCTTGGAATATCATTTCTTAGGGCCGAGCACCACTGCACCGTGTACTTGCTTCGAAAGCACTGCATAAACTTGGCCACGTAACTGGCAAGGTTCATTCTGGCATAACACGAACAAATCTGCTGCCTCTTCTTTCTTGTTGGATTTTGGCATGATCACGAAGAGGGCCAGAGATTACATAGAATCTCCGACAGCTCCGAAACCGCATTTTGATATTCGTATCCTCAGAACGCGGGATCTCTTGGATCGCCTTTTTTTTCCTTTTTTTCTTTTTTTTTCTTTTTTTTTTTCCCGGAGTTGATGACATCTTGCAGTGTCATTTTTTTCAAACCGCCTGGCCCCAGGTAATCCATAAGTAATTGATTTCATTCACTGAAGCTTATACTTCCATTCACTGAAGCTCATACTATGGATTTCAAGTCAGGTCTGGATTTGAACAATGCGTGGGTGTACCAACCTTAAGCCAGGCCCGCACAATAGTTCTTTCCATAACTGACCTTGTTAGAATTGCTGTAGAGTTTGTCGGCTTGGATTGTTCTCAAGAACCTGTGTCTATTGAGTGCGCATTGACACCCTGCTTCTCTTCACTTAAAGTGCTACTACCTACGCCAGTGTTGGGAACTTAGGGAAACGGGCTGTTGCCAAAGAGTTTGGAGGCCGGGCCTTACGGTAGCTGCCATTAACAAATCTCATCGGCGGCCTTCATTCTATTTCGGCCTCCTCAAAGGCCGGAGGCCCGCCCGACGCCCGCTATTTTCCCACTCGGCAAAGGTTCTAGTGGAGTGGTTTTAACGTTGAGATTGGGAGAAAACGAGTGAGTATGCAAGTGCGGAGGGGAAAGGCATCAAGGGAGTACGTCGTGAGTTTGCCCTGTGTGTTCGCGCTGCCTCGGAAGGACCATATATGCGACAGATTCGAACTCTACCCAAAGTCCATGCCAGCGAGAACAAGAAGGGCATAGCATACCGGCGGCAGGCGTTTAGCAGGAAGGGAAGATCATGCCCCCCCCTGGCTTTTCCTTAGTACCTCCCTTCTGCGCAGTCAATCTGTTGTTCTGCAGGGTAATCAATGCTGGCAGGAATTGGGTGGCACTTCTCAGGCTATCCGTAAATTGCAGAACTGTCATTTAACATGGGACGCTCTACCCGCTTGGACCTGCTTGGACCCTTTTTCCAGCAGGCGTGGCTCCTTTCCAATAGATTGGAGCATCCAGGGGACCTGATAGGACGAAATGCCCTTACCATCTCCCCTAGCAGGCTGAATGGTCTTTTTGTTACTTGGAAAAAAAGAAAAAGAAAAGGAAGGGCATTGCAGGAGTGTGTCCTGAGTCTGGCCTACATGTTCGCTCTGCCTCGGAAGGACCATATGTTCCACGAGTTCAAACGCAATAGTAAAACAGTTCTGTATCTGGTTATCTGCTCCGAGGCGCCATTTCAAGTTGGTGCGTCGTCTGGTGGATGTGGTGTCTTTGGGAAGATGGTACACAAAGCTGCACTTTTACATATTCGTCAACCACAAGTACAACTGGGCTTGGAGGCGTTCCAGTGCGCATCAAGCTTTTTCGAATCGCCAGCGGATCTACTTTTTTTCGTTTTTGGTTGGTGCTGCCAGCCATTGTGGTCTGGTAGACCCGAGGCGTGAAACTTTTGGAGCAGGCGACGAGCAAAAAACTCCACAAGGCTGGGGCCGTGTACTGGCAGTCTCAAGGCCTACTTGAGTATGCTGTGTCTAACTGATGGACAAACCCATGCATGCCGTGGCTCCAGTGAAAAGATGCCTGGTGGTGGTGCTTGGAGAAGATGATAGACACAATTGGTGGGACTGTTTTTCCAGAAGGTCTATTTGAATTTGCCCTGTTGAAATTATGGCCTAGTCCATGCCATGGCTGGCAAGATTGGTTGTCTTGTGTGTCGCGAACTGAAAGATAACCAAGCCCATGCCATGCTCCATGCTATTTCTGCCAATATTTACTGGGTTATGCGGGTGAAAGGATGGACAAGTACCGATTGGCCTTCAATCTTCCCTCGAATACAACGTACGGTCATTATAGCTGAATTTGGGGTATCTTTCAGTCTAAAAATAGCTAGGATGACCGTACGTTGTATTCGAGGGAAGGA